TGGCATATTTTTGCCACCAGATAACCATATAACTTACCAGTTACTAGTATTTAAGAGGTTAACTTTTGAAGCTTCTTGAACTTCAGATATCTGAGGGTCGGGGATTCGAGTCACCTGTTGGGCGTGTACGTTAAAATTCATTGTGCACCGTGTTTTCATTTTAACGCTAAAAATTTGAAAAAATGGCAGACATCGTCAATCTAGATAGATACATATACTAGTATCAATAAATAAACAAATTAAATGTTGATGATGCACACCAAAGACGCCGCCAAATGATGTGAACAGTACGTCACAGGTAATGTACAAAATCAGTCTTAACAAGTTCCATTATGATACTATATTCTATATATATAATACATTTTAGTTTGATAATTTTAATGTATAAACATTTGTTGTGTTTTTTATACAAAATTATCTCCGTTGCGCTGAGCTCCGTAATAAGTCTATTTCGCAGGCATATAAATGTATAAAAAAATCCTATTGAAATTTCCAACAAACTTTTTGTTGATACTTTATTTAATAAACATCATTTATCTTAGTTTGATAATTGTTAGTTATAATCTTACATTGTTCCCTTTATAGAAAAATATCTCAGTTGCACAAAGAATATGTCCATTTCGCGGCCATTTGCCATCCGTCGGAACAATTTAGATACACTTTAAAAGAAACTTCATTTTTCACTCACTAAAACTGTTTTACTCCACAATTTAGATACACTTTAAAAGAAACTTACCTTTGCACTCAGTAAATCTGCTTTACTCCTTAAATGTTAATTATTTTACAGTTAAGCATACGTATTGCCCGTTTACGGTGGCACAAGGGTGACATGTGTGTGTGTTTTTATTTATCTCGTGCATACGAGATACTATTATGCCGTGGCCACGAGTTACCTAGCATCTCGTGGCCACGACATAGTATCTCGTTCCCACGACTTAATTATATCGTGCCCACGACTAAGTAACTCGTGGCCACGACATAGAATCTAGTTGCCACAACATAGTATCCCGTGCCCGCGACTAATTAAGTTATCTCGTGGCCACGACTTAGTAACTCGTAGCCACGACATAGAATCTCGTTCCTACGACTTAATATTGTCGTGGCTACGGCTTAGTAACTCATTGCCACGCCATAGAATCTCGAGCGCACGATATAAATAAATACACACACAATCATGTCACCTTTGTGCCACCGTACCTGTTTTGCAAAAACGGTCTTTTGCGCCCGTTGCACTCTGTTGTATATTTTGGTCATACCCCTGGTTCCCTGTCCAAATTTGGTTCCCGTCATTAGACTATAATAGACTGGTTCATTGACACGTCATTAAATAGGTAAAAGAAAAAATATAAAACATACAAGAGGGCCATAATGGCCCTGAGTCGCTCAATAGAAAACAACTGCTTTCAATAAAAGATAAAATATTACCTAAGAATGCTACATACTAAGTTTGGTGATCATCCATCAATTACTTAAAGGTATTTCTATTTATAGCTTTAACGGTCCCTAAAAGGAGCCAATCAAATTAATATGAGCAAACTTGATAAAACACTACCTAAGACTGCTTCATACAAAATTTGGTGATCATCCATCAATTTGTTCTGTAGAAGCAGACGTTTTAAGGTATTTCTATCTTTAGCTTTAGCGGCCCTTGAAAAGGGCCAACCAAATAATAATATGAGCAAACTTGGTAAGAGACCTAAGTAATGCTACAGACAAAGTTTTGGTGATTATCCATCAATTAGTTCTGTAGAAGCAGACGTTTAAAGGATTTTCTATTTTTAGCTTTAGCGACCCCTAAAAGGAGCCAATCAAATTAATATGAGCAAAATTGATTAAACACTACCTAAGAATGCTACAGACAAAGTTTGGTGATCATCCATCAATTCTTTCAGTAGGGAAGATGTTCAGAGATTTTTTTCTATTTTTAGCTTAAGCGGCCCCTAAAAAGGGGGGCCAATCAAATTAACATGAGCAAACTTGATAAAACACTACCTATAAGAATGCTACAGACAAAATTTGGTGATCACCCATCCATTATTTTAGTACAAAGGTTTTTCTTTTTCTAGATTTAGGGGCCGTAAAAGGGGCCTATCAAATTAATATGAGCAAACTTGATAAAATACTACCTAAGAATGTTACAGACAAAATTTGGAGATCATCCATCAATTAGTTCTGTAGAAGGGGACATTTAAAGGAATTTCTTTTTTTTAGATTTAAAGGCCACTTAAAGGGGCTAATCAAATTAATATGAGCAAACTTGATAAGAAACTTCCTAAGAATGCTACAGACAATATTTGGTGATCATCATTCAATAAGTTCTGTAAAAGAAGATGAGTAATTTTTTTTTCGGTTTTAGCTCTAGAGATTCCTAAAAGGGACAATCAAATTAAAATGAGCAAATTTGATAGACTACCAAAGAATGCTACAAACAAATTTTGGTAATCCATCATTTAATTTAGTAGGAGAAGATGTTTAAAAGTTCTTTCTATTTTTAGCTCTGTTGACCCCTAATGGGGTGAATTGAAATGGCATGAGCAAATTTAATTGCGACTGTCACAAGGATGCTACAGATTAAATTTGAGGTACATCTGCCCATCAGTTTTAAAGAAAAAAAATGATTGTTGACGCATGGCGATGGACGACGGGTCATCCCCCTTTGATACTAATAGCTCACCCCGAACCTTCGGTTCTGGTGAGCTAAATAAGGGTATGGTATTCCAACATGGCACTATCACTTAAGTAAAAAAAAATCCTTAAAGCTCGGTGACATGTTGTACTTCAGAAAAGCTATTTCTATTTGAGAATTTGAAAACAGTGTAATTTTGTTAAAAAAATACGTGCACGCAGCGTCTAATGATAATTTCTAAAACAATTAAGCAAAGCGTTTTATATATTAGTGTGGAATTATCAAAAATTAAAAAAAAATAGAGAAAATAAGAATCCCTAAAGAAAACCCAACACAGCAAAATTGAAAATGTTGCAGGCTCGGTTTGATTGAGCCTGTGCATGGACGGTACTGTCAAGTGCAACCCCCCAGGACCGGCTTAAAACATTTAAACAAGAAATGGTAAAATTTTGAATTTAGAAACATCCACAGATGTGTTCATACGACGGTTATCATGGAACCTTCAATGTGACACAGCAGTGCCATTCCATGAAAAGCGGCGTATGCCCTAAACGAGAAAACAATGGGCGGAACTACACTTAATGGAATATTGAAAGGGGATCAGAGGTTATGAAATATAAAGAAATATTTCTATCAAACCAATCTATTTTTTAGTTACAAGAGATCGGCAATGAAAAACACCAAGCATCTACCTAAAAATTAGTTACTCAATAGACAATCTGAAAAATCTTTAATTTATTATGTTATTCGGGGTTGTTGATTCAAATCCCCCGATTGGCTTGAATTTTTTAATGAAAAGTTTCTCGCACTATTACCATATTATTGTCTGCACGTTTTTACTTTATAACATCAATCTTTGGCTAGAATTTGGGTTTTAGCAATTTGAAAATCACGTCTGAAAGAATTTTTTTTAATGTATTATAGAAGTTTATAGAAGGCATATGCTTGTCCTGTTTTACTAGGTAGATAAAATGACACTGGTTGTGTTCGTGTAGGCTAGACGAGTATACTCGACCTGATTAACGCAGTTCTTCCCCTTTAATCTGATACAAATGGCGACATCAGATCAAGTTTTGGTACGTGATGAGCATTTTTACTGCAGTATATGTTTGGAGATATACGACACACCTAGAACATTACCGTGTTTACATTCATTCTGTCAGGAATGTTTAAAGGGTTATATTCTAAAGACTCTAACACAGGATTCACAAACATTGTTATGTCCAATTTGTAGAGCGGACACGAAAACAGACAAAGTCAGGTTTAAACAGGTTGAAAAGTGGGTGGAGAATTTTCCAATTAACTTTACTCTATTTTCGATTTTGAAAGAAAGAAAATTGGCGATGAGCGCAAAGGGAAACAATTGTGAGGCGTGTTTAAGGGATAGAGGTGCAACGATACCTTTCGATGCATCGAAAACCGGTTTTATGAGCGCCGATTCGATTCCCGATATCAACTGTAACATTTTCGATTCGATTCCCCACCCAAAAATAAGCATGGAAAAAAGTGAGAGTTTTAGTCTTTCCCTTCGCGCTTTATCACGTTACATACGATTGGCCAGTTAAAACTCGGTCATCCAATCAGTGGGCGCGAAATGTTTTATTTTCGGCAAACAAGTCAAAATGGCTACCAACATCAATGTTGATAAAATAAAATTAAAAAATCCTCCTAAAAAATTAAAATCAAAGGTTTGGGAACACTTTGGGTTTCGGGAAGGCCTGGACACGGATAAAGCTACTTGCAAAATATGCTTTAAGGACGTGTCATATCCAAAGTCCGACAGTACGTCTAATTTAATGCAAAATATGAAACGAAAACACGATGTGGACTTGTTTGGTCAGCTTTATCCGTGTCCTGCCCTTCCCGAAATAAGTTTGATTAGTACTACAGTAAGTAGGCATATTTGACATTGGGATTGATTATTATTTCTTTAGTCAAGTGTGAAAAAAGTGATAATTTCATGAATTTCATTTTTTCTCTATTGTTTACTAGACTAAGAAGTATTGTGTGACAACACTGACATTAGGATTGATTATTCATTTTACATATTATTTTAATTATAAACAGAATATCTGAATATCAGTTCTGACAACCTTGTGAAACTTTGTTCATTATTATTTACTTTACAATTTACATACTTTGTTAAATTCCTAGTCAGCAGAAGGTATCTGTGATAGTCATGTAACTGAGATGAATAATTATTTGCCTGATTAAAATTATTTCTAAGTAGATAAGAGCTTTTTATTCTCATAAACACAATTATTAAGTCAAATAAGTTTATATAATAGTTATATAACAACAGAAAAGCAAAGCACTAGGTTGAAGGCCACTCAATTTTTGGGCAGACAAGCAGGGGTGCATAGAAAAACCGGAAAGCACCGGATAGCACCGAAATACCGGAAAGCACTCAAATTTCTATTAAAAACATATGAAAACGTTAATTAATCGGTTTGAAAGTGTTACCAATCGATTTATTAGATTAAAATCTTTCAGACAAGTCATTTTTATATTTATATATTGATAATTATTACGAGTATGTAGGAAAATAGATATATCGAGTGCTTTCCGGTCCTGTTAAGATACATGTACATTACCGGATAGCAATATTGTTTATCAAAGTTATACATGAAAACTTTATTTTATTGGTTTGAAAGTGTTACCAATCGATTTATTAGATCAAAATCTTACAGACAAGTCATTTTTATAAAAATATATTGATAATTTTTACGATTATTTAGGAAAATAGATATATCGTGTGCTTTCCGGTCCTGCTAAGGTACATGTACATTACCGGATAGCAATATTGAATATCAAATTAATACATGAAAACTTTATTTTATTGGTTTGAAAGTGTAACCAATCGATTTATTAGATCAAAATCTTTCAGACAACATGTTTTTATAAATATATATTGATAATTATTACGTTTGATTAGGAAAATAAGAAATATCGAGTGCTTTCCGGTCCTGCTAGGGTACACGTACTTTACCGAATAGCAATATAGTTTATCAAAGTAATACATGAAAACTTTATTTTATTGGTTTGAAAGTGTAACCAATCGATTTATTAGATCAAAATCTTTCAGACAACATGTTTTTATAAATATATATTGATAATTATTACTATTATTTAGGAAAATAAGATATATCGAGTGCTTTCCGGTCCTGCTAAGGTACATGTACTTTACCGGATAGCAATATAGTTTATCAAATTAATACATGAAAACTTTATTTTAATGATTTGAAAGTGTTACCAATCGATTTAATATATCAAAATTTTCCAGACAACATGTTTTTATAATTGTACTATGATTATTATAACGATTATTTAGGAATGTTAAAGAAATTGAGAATGCTTTCCGGTTTTGTTAAGTATATGTACCGAATAGCACTCGAATTTTCACTAAAAAACGTACAACCTTCATTGTATTGAATTGAAAACGTTACCAAGAGATTTATTAGGAAAAAATCTCCCTGACATTATTTTTTTATAATTAATATTACGAATAAAAAAGTTTAAAATAGATATTAAAATAGATATATCAAGTGCTTTCCGGTCCTGCACATTCCATTATTGCTTTCCGGTCCTGTGAAGTAATAGTAATACATCACCGAAAAGCACTGGTCTTCTTACCTCAGACATACAGATGGTATATAAATATTTAAAATGTATGTACCTTGTCTAATATATTAATATATTTATTTGTTGTAGGCTATATGGAAGACAAGAGGATTCAAAATAGCAGGAAGAGAAGAACAATAATTGTTTCAGTGATGTTTTTTTTATTTTTGACAATAAACAGTGCAATAAATAAAAATAAACGAAACTAAATACTAAGAACAAAATAAACAGATATAAAACAGAACTTAGCAAACATATATACATACATAATTGAAAAAGAAGTATGATATTGAAATCAATCAAGGCACACTTCACGCCTCGTTTATTACACGTGCACACGCTGATTGAACGGACACACGCTGATTTAATTATCACATTTAAAGAGGTGTTAATAATACACAATAACTTGATGTATTTAACTGATTGATTAATTGAGGTATTATATATGATATTGAAATGTCATTTAAACTTTAATTTAATTATATTTACAAATAGTGATGTTTTAAAAACAAAATCAACAAATAACTATCTCATTATTATATACATATAAAACTACAAAATATATATACATAGGCAGACCCCTACATTTTTTTTATGTAATATTAATATCAATGCATATTATATTATGGTAAATCCATTTCAGTTCGAGTATGGGCTAGACTACAGCCTGATGAGCATAAATGACATCTTAAGACACACTCGAACCTACTAATGCGGTCGTGATATAAATTTTATATAATATACATTGATATTGATACTTAATATTTATGTTCAACATATGTTTTCCAACATAAATTTTCAGGCACTGTGAATTGCAATTCCAGACAACAAAAATGAATGTCATGTCAATGTCATCGGTCATAGATAAATATCAATACATAATATATTGTGTTGTAGTATATAAGTTCGAGTATGGGCTTGACTATAGCCTGATGAGCATAAATGACATCTTAAGACACACTCGAACTTACTTATGCGGTCATCTATAATATATTTATGCATTGATATTTATCCCGTCTTTGGTTTCTTCACTGTCACAGTCCGAGTGTTAATTTTTCTTTTTCGTTGACCTGGTTTTTTACCGTGGGTTCTTGGTGCAATTATCGTCGATTGTCCGTCCGTAGATGTCATGTAACCGGGCTTTTGATACGGGTGGCGTCGAAAACGGACAAAATGCTTGCGTCTCTGTTCGTCCGTCATGTCTACATACACAGATTTGGTGAGTTGAAATTGTGAATGAGTTTGTGCGAGTCTGAACTCACCAGCACCGATAATGGCACTACGCAAGTCCAGAAATTGACCTTGGACCAGGGAATGGAGCGTCTCAACCAGGTCAGTCAATGGCTTGGACTTCCAGTCTATGGCCTGTTTAAGGACATGGTTCATTGACTCACAGTTATTGTTCGTCCAATGTCCGTCAACCTTATCAGATAGTGAGGGGTCATTAACCTTTGTTTTCATCTGTGGTCGAAGTCTGTCTTGAAAGTATTTCACAAAGTTTTGTGATATTTCCCTACAGTGATTTTCTAGTCGGTCACATTTTTCGTCAAAACAAATACTGTCGTCACTGTCCAAGATTCCACCGTCACGAAATATCATGTCGAGAATGTCAGTCCTGTTCTTGTCGTTTACGCCGTCGTCTTTCAGTTTTTGTTTTGTGTTGGTGTAATGATGTCGCGTGCAAAGTACGTGCGTAGATTCAGGGAACGCTGTTGTAATGGCCTTTACAAGAGCGCGTTCGTCGTCACTGCCGATAACCAATCTGTCCAGGGGGGAGCTACAAAGTTTCATTTTTAAGTGATTAAAGAATTGGCAGTACGACTCAAAGTCACTATTGTCATGTAAATAAATTGGTCCTTTTTTGCAACGGGAGCGCTTGTTCAAATTTTGTTCATTATTTAATAAAAAATATGTATTTTCTTTAGCGCCCCCTGGAATTTTGCCCAGCCCCTCACCCAAAGTTGTAGTTAAAAGTTTTACTGCTTTCTCAGTGTCCATAAATTCCGAATTTAGGTCCCCCCTGTAGGGGTCATTGACACGGTCATTGATGGGGTCTGCCTCTGAAAATGAAACAGCTGACTGATCATGGGAAACCTCATCTGCTTCAGAAGCAGGAGCACAACTTTCAGCGTACGATGTTTCACATGATCTGTCAGCTGTTTCTGATACATTGACATCAATATGTATAACATTTGCATCTGTTGGTATAGCTGAATTATTTACATTTTTAATTGTTACATTTGTACATGTGTCCTCTGATAATGCATCTTTTCTTACAAGTGGCACGAAATGGTTTGGATTTAGTACAGATTTAGTGGTATCTAAATTCATTTCAGTCCACATCACAGTAACCTCAGGGGTTAAATCTTTGCACTGACGACCAATTACCCGTCTCGTGAGTGGTTCTGACGTGAAATCTGGATAGTTTTGTGGCGGGTAATATGACTTAATTGTTTGATTGAGAACAGCACTGACTAAATAAAATTGTTCAATCCCAGAAAAACTGTTGAGAATTATAACATCATGTAGTAATTGATCATAATCATTTTTCACAATTCTGTTGTCTGTCAAGAAATTATCTGATTTGTAATATTCTTTGTGTTCAATAAGCTCTAATGCTGACAACAATCTTAATAATATGTGTTGTTCTTCACTACCCGTAAGCCCTAGCGCTATTGCTCTATACAGACAGTTGCCGTCACCAATTGTAGATACGGGCATCACTGTACCAACCATTGCTGGATGATACAGTCTCAAGATCTGTGAGGACGTTTTATCCTCCTGATGACTACTTATTACAGACTCTGACCTACAGAAACCTACATTGTATGCTTGTAACAATTTCCTTTCTGATTTTGCTGCATTAATCAATGAGTTTTTCTTCCTTGACTGCATCGCAGATTTTAGTCTGTAAAATAATATTAACTTTAAGAAAAAGAGACCCACGGAGAAATTACGCTTCGCCTAAAAATATAATGGCACATTTTTAACTTAATCAAAAGCATTTGTCTTATTACATTCTTTATTAATGACATATTGTCCTCCTATGCGCATCATCAAATAAACTAATCGCGATTGCAAAATACATTAAAGGCACAATAAGGTTTATATACTGTAGCACCTATGCGCATTATCAAATATACTAATCGCGCTTGCAAAAAACCTTAAAGGCACATTAAGGTTTATATACTGTACATGTAATAACTCTAACTAAATCTAAAAATAACTACATAAATAAATATCTGTGTATCTCGATTTAACTTTAATTGTCATAATAGTACGTAGCATCATACTTCATAAATAGATAAATTCATTTTTAACAAGTCTATATTTATAGAACAGTAGAAGCATACCTAATTAAATAAACGACTAGATAAATTGTTAAATATCTGAATAAATAAATAAATACATGTGCGTAATAAAATGTAACTTATAATGATATATTATTAGCATTATACATTCACATTTAATTTTAACCCGTCTAAATACTATATAAATAATGAAATAACTGAATAAAAAAAATAAATACCTGAATAAATAATTAAATAAATACATAAAATATATCTCTGCATAAATGAATAGTGACATGTAACAATTGTAAATAAAAGTGTGAAAAATGTTGTTCTACTTTAATAACAGGCTTTAATAGCTTTGATAACAGCTTACATCAATTATCGACTATGCATGTATTTCACAGATCTGAACTGTCGACAGCTTGGATATATGTCAATATGAAATAAATCACTCTACATTTCTATCTATATAAAGCTTTGTAAAATAAGGATTATTCAGTCTTATGACAAAAATGGCTACAAAAGTTGTACTATTTGGCGACAGCTATGTTTAACGCCTAGATTATTTTGCGAGGATCGAACAGGCTTTAACATCCCATTCAAAGTAAGATGGTATGGAAAGGAGAGTCTCAGAACAGACAGAATGGATACCAACTTCTACAACAATATGATACATGAGAAAGCTGAAGTTGTTGTTATTGCGGTGGGTGGGGACGAAATCAACCCTACATCTAGTCCGAAGGAAATTATTTGGCGAATTATTGAATTTAATGATGATTTGCAGACACGAGGAACTAAGCACGTGTTTGTATGTGAGATATTGACACGTGGTGATTTTTCCAAGTGTCCGGGGCTAACCAAAAAATGTTTTGATAAACAGCGGGTACACATAAATAAGAATTTAGCAAAAACTTTCAAAAACAATTTCTTGAGATTTCCTAACATAAAATTTCCTGGGGACTATGCGCGAGATCTCGTGCATTTTAGAGGGTAAAGCACCGGGTAACAACGGGATGCACAGATATCAGTGCAAACTACGCAGAGTTTTGTGTAGCTTAAGAACATATTAACGTATTGTTGGTAAAAACGGCCCTTTTAAGGGCCCAACATATATTACGAAAGAAATCCAGATTTTTATTGTCAATTTGTTTTTCATAATAAAGCTTTTTACATATTAAAATATTTTTTGTTATATGTGCCATTTAATTTTCAGGTTCTGCGAATAAATTTCGTAAGTATAATAGAATGGGTTCAAGTATAGAATAAATCAACAGATATAATATGTCTTCATCATCTTCTTCTTCTTCTTCGGATTACATTTAGAAAATAATGTTGATTATAAATGTCTATATTCATATATGATAAATCTTAACGATTGTCTTGCCACTATATCATGCATTAACATGCCTCCATATAATGTAATAAGCTTTTAGGCAATGTAAAAAGGTTCAAGAAATAATTTACAAGTTACTATTATTAAATTTACTTCACATTTTCTAGTGGTAAGACATTCACCAAGAATAATAAAACTTGTACTTACCTCTTAAGAGCACCTTCAGCATCATAATCCGATCCACGGAATGCACAGCACTTACATAGATATACTAAATTTCTATCCGACCAGGACTTAATGTCACTTAAATTTGTACAAGTACGATGCAACCAGTTCTTACAATTTGAACACTGAATAGTATCATCAACACATTCTAATGTACACACAATGCACGGATACTCCGTCATGATTTTTGATATTTTATTTAAGAGATATTCCAATTTAGATTTAATAGCACTACTAGCATTTAAATAAAAATTATGGTAATGGATTAATTTTGTTGGGGTTTATATACAATTTTATTCAAATAAGAGTACATTTTAATAGCACCTTGATATAAAGTTCTAAGAGATTCCGTATATATCCGTTACAAACATTTCTTTTCATGAGTGCCGTAATAATCTTCATTAAACAAAATTAATTTTATATCAAAAGAGTGTGTAGTTAATTGCAATTTCTAATTATCTAATTTAATGTGCATGTAAAGGACAGTGTCTAATTAATGCAACTTTGATGTGCAGGTCGGTACTCTCAATTATCATAATTGTGTACAAATTGATTAAATCATCACCTTTTTGTGCTACAATATACAAGGTCTTTAATCAGCAAGGATTAGCACGTGTGATAAACAATACAACAACTACTGTCCTCCACTGATGACCACATTGCTTTTCGGTACACATAGTATGGAAAAAAATAAAGACATAACTGAACGAAAATTTATAAGTTTTTCTTTATTTTACATGATATACAAATATAATAGGAAAAAATATGGTTCGATGCTTTGAATAACTTATTGGTACTTTTTACACATCCTCTTTCTGTCCTTCACACAACCTATAAAATATTAGAAATATGATACATTGTCAGATATATGGTATGAGCAAGATTGAAAAATCGTGTAACTAATCATAATATTTTTAATTGAAATAATGTCAACTTAATTAATCAATTAAATAAAGTTTTCATGTATTAATTGGATAAACAATATTGCTATTCGGTAATGTACATGTATCTTAGCAGGACCGGAAAGCACTCGATATATCAGTTTTCCTAAATACTCGTAATAATTATCATTATATATTTATAAAAACATGTTGTCTGAAAGATTTTGATCTAATAAATCGATTGGTAACACTTTCAAACCAATAAAATAAAGTTTTCATGTATTACTTTGATAAACTATATTGCTATTCGGTAAAGTACGTGTACCCTAGCAGGACCGGAAAGCACTCGATATTTCTTATTTTCCTAAATAATAGTAATAATTATCAATATATATTTATAAAAACATGTTGTCTGAAAGATTTTGATCTAATAAATCGATTGGTTACACTTTCAAACCAATAAAATAAAGTTTTCATGTATTAATTTGATATTCAATATTGCTATCCGGTAATGTACATGTACCTTAGCAGGACCGGAAAGCACACGATATATCTATTTTCCTAAATATTCGTAAAAATTATCAATATATTTTTATAAAAATGACTTGTCTGTAAGATTTTGATCTAATAAATCGATTGGTAACACTTTCAAACCAATAAAATAAAGTTTTCATGTATAACTTTGATAAACAATATTGCTATCCGGTAATGTACATGTATCTTAACAGGACCGGAAAGCACTCGATATATCTATTTTCCTACATACTCGTAATAATTATCAATATATAAATATAAAAATGACTTGTCTGAAAGATTTTAATCTAATAAATCGATTGGTAACACTTTCAAACCGATTAATTAACGTTTTCATATGTTTTTAATAGAAATTTGAGTGCTTTCCGGTATTTCGGTGCTATCCGGTGCTTTCCGGTTTTTCTATGCACCGGACAAGCAGAATTATATACCAAAGATAAATTAGTAATCAGAAATGTATCGAATCGAAAAAAATCGAATCGGAGTGTCTAAAATCGAAATCGAATCGAATCGAACATTTGGTGTATCGTTGCAGCCCTATTAAGGGAGGATATCAAGGTTGAAGCTATTGTTTATTGTTATGATTGTTCT